CCCAGTTAGCAGTTGGTGTAAGCTCTTCACAGTGCTGAGCCGCTCTGTTTCTCAGCTGCCAGAACTGTGTGTTCCATATTGCAGTTGCACTGAAAAAAGAGGAAGGACTCAGTGCAAGGTAGCTGCTAAACATGTTCATCTCGGCAAAAGATTTGCAGCAGCCCAAGTCAGAAATGATCACGTTGCTCTGCTGTGGAACAAAGCATGCTGTGTTATGTCCAAGCTTGCCAGTTTAGGGTTTTTCTGCTCGGCATAAGGCTGGTCCTGTACAGACCACTGTCCTAGCAGCAATAATAAGCTTTGACTCTGGTTTCTGGCAGTGCGTCACCGATCCCTTAATCAGGAGGCTGTGGATGATGGGAGTGACAGCGAAGAGGAGCTTGCTGCATTCTGTCCCAAGGTAACGAAGCATCTCTGAAATAGAAGAGCTCAGCTGAATAGAACAAACTTGCTGCATTGCGTGGACACGCAGTGCATGGCCCTGTGTCCAGCACGTTGTAACTGAGTTGCGATGGAATATCAGATGAGGATATTCTCCTTTTAGAGAGGTCTGTCTCACTCAAGTATGTCCAGCGCAGCTTGTGCCAACTACAGTCTCCTAGGCTGGGCAGTAAAGTGTGGAATGAGCCTCAGATACCAGCCTCCCATGAGGACTGGGTTTAACTGGCAGCCACTGGATCATGTGTTTTGTCTTGAATAATAAGCTTTCCCGTATTGATGTTTCCAATTTTATCTCCTATTTCAAAGCTGGATGACTCTGTGGTCGCCAAGGAACTAACCATCTCTGACTCGGAGCATTCGGATGCTGAGGTTTCCTACACTGAAAATGGGATGTTTAACCTTTCGAGGGGCCAGACTCCCCTGACAGAGGGATCAGAAGGTGAGAGTAAATGGGCCGTTTCTGGAAGGTGTGGAATGCTGAGCAGGCGCCGGTGTGATGGGTGGGAGGGAGGATGCATTCATTGCCTTCTGTCCTTGAGGTCTAGCTGTCTGATGTCTGTCTTGCTGGCTAAGACGAGATGCAACTACCTGTTTCTTCAGAACTGAGCTTCCTTAATTCCTGTGGTGCTTTAGTAGGGCAATGGCAGCTGCTCTTCAAAGGCAGATCCAGCTCTGCCAGTCTCTGGTTGTCGGGATACAGGTTGCAGTGGAAAGGCTGGGAGGGGGTGCTTTCCTCTGGCAGAAGGTGTCTGGTTCAGCATCTGCATTCCTTTGTGAGTGAGCTGGGAGGTCAGCAGGCATCCCAAATAGCTGTGTGAGGGGGAGATTAAAGAGCATTCGGTCTGTGAGATGACAAGAGACAGTCTGTCTTGGGGAGGTAATGGCCCGGCTTTTGTGTGCTGTGCTGCCCTTGCCTGCAGGGTGCTTGGCGTGTGCTGTGTATTTAAAGCGCTTTCTGCTCTTCTAGACCTGGACGGTCACAGCGATCCAGAAGAATCTTTTGCCAGGGATCTCCCTGACTTCCCTTCCATAAACCCGGAAGCAACTGGCATAGATGACGAAGATGACACCAGCATTGGGATCCCAAGTCTGACTTACCGCCCACAAGTAACAGAAGATCTGCGTCTCCCTTACGACCAGGAAGAATCCGGTGCACTGCCATCTGTACAGAATCTTACTAACAACATAGCCGGATTTGTCACCAGAGGGATGATACAGCTTGCGCTGTCAGGAGCCCCTCAGCCAGGCTCCTCGCGCAGCGACAATCCCCAGAGAGGTGCAAAGACTTACCTTAGAAGGGCCAGCTCGGACTTGGACACTGATGCGGAAGGGGATGACTTTGAACTGCTGGATCAGTCCGAGCTGAACCAGCTGGATCCTGCTGGCTCGCGGGGCCAGTAAGCAATCCCACCACTTCCCTCTGGTTTTCTATTGCGCATCGTGGAGGGGAATCCTGGAAGGAAAAGCCTTGCACAGTTATCTAGGTCGTCTCCTGTGTGAGTATGAGTGACGTGACAGCCAGTCCTGGCTGGGAACACCACTGTGACTTGTGACTCTGTAGCCTCGCTTGGATTTTAAAATAAACTACACTGGTAATTCATAGGGAAAAGACGTTGATGTGATAGCTCCACAATCACCCATGCGTTGCCCTGCACTGTCTGCCAGGATGCTGCTTGCTCCAAACTTCCTCACTTAAGACAATAAATCTGGTGTCTGCAGCTCTAGAGACCATTGGTCAGACTGACTTAGCATCGCCAGGACAATCTTGAAACCGACCTTCCGGGGCTGATGTCTAACCAGGTGAAGGGGATTGGTTTCCCCTCAGACTTAGTGTCTGGGACTTAATGCTATTCTGTCTTTAAGACGACCGTTCCCTGCTACTAAAATCTGCACAGAATCCAAGTCTTCTTTCCCAGCAATATCCAGCTCCGGGTAGAAACAAACCCCTTGCTCCTGTTGCGGACACGACGGTGTACGGCCACCATGTTTGTACTTGCGATGACCACTCATCTCTGGTTCCAGCTTTCTAGTGATGCTGTTTTGTAAGAGACGTAATGGCAATAAGACATCTACTGTGATGACTAGAGTCCTGCAAAGAACATCTACATGTGGCAGCTGCTCTTGTGTTGCTTTCCTAAAATAACGGACTAACAATTTGCTAAACCCCCCTGTGCTCCTCCAGCACACGTTCGGCGTGGACGGTGGCAATACTGCACTTCCCCTGACGCTGCCTCTTGGGGAACTGCTAGGGTCGGGTTTTCTGGAGGAGGGAAGAGGGGGAGCTGGTCTGCCCGGCCAGTTTTGTTCTGGTCCTGGGGCCAGCCTGCTGCTTCCCAGCCTTGTGCAGTTGAGAGCCCCGCCGGTAGGAACCGAACGGGGGACACCAGCCCAAGCCACCAGTGACCGAAGAGCTTGTGCCCACTGCGGTCACGTAAACAAACCAGCAGCCTACGGGGGGGAAGACGATCTGCCAGCTGGAGGGCCCGGGCCCTCCGCCCCTCTCTGCCTCTCTGAGCTTTCCCATTGCTTTTTCTAAGCCATAGAACCCGATTCCGATCGCATTTGTGCAGCAAAGAACGTACCTCTTCAGGGACACGCCTTTATCTGCTTCTTTTTGTCTAAATCTGCTTGCCTGACAGCGTTGGCCGTGCAGCTGCGCTCTGCCTCTCTGAGCTTTCCCATTGCTTTTTCTAAGCCATAGAACCCGATTCCGATCGCATTTGTGCAGCAAAGAACGTACCTCTTCAGGGACACGCCTTTATCTGCTTCTTTTTGTCTAAATCTGCTTGCCTGACAGCGTTGGCCGTGCAGCTGCGCTCGCTGGCTGCGGTCAGGCGGGGGGCGGCTGGCCTCGGCCCCGGGGAAGGGGGTGGGGA